ACGATCGTAAATTTCCAGCCGGAACAGTATTTTTCCCTCACATAAACTAGCCAGCAGTACTTCTTCACGAACCAGCAACGAAACGAACCAGTCAACCGAACAGGCTGCTAGTTTGACATGAGCAGCTTGTGTGAGGTGAGGCAAGTGTTGGCAAGAGAAGCGAATGCCCCTTGGAAGCTTGACTCTTTGTTGGACGAGGCCAAGCGGGTGAGGCGAGGCGAGAGGCGGTGAAGGAACCAAACAGCCTCTGGCTCGAGCCTTCGAGGTGAGGAAAGAAACAGATTTACAGCAGCCGCACACAACTTTTACGGAGAAAATAAGGTTCGTGCATGAACTTTTGTAACTGACCCGAATAAATACCATAACTTTTCACTACCTTTAAGTTTTTTCCCGTTCCCGTTATTAAGTAGGAGTATGGGACAGTTTTCCCTCTTTTGCATTTTTGTCCCATGCATCCGTGAATGGAGTTCTTATTTACTCCCTGCATTCCAAATTATAAGTCGTTTTGATTTTTTTGGTACATTAATTTTGCTATGTAGCTAGATAAATAATATGTCTAGATACATAATAAAATGGATGAACCATAAAAGTCAAAGTAACTTATAATTTAGAACAGAGGGAGTATTTTTCTTATTTGTTTCCCATAAATACTAAAGAAAAAAAATCATAAATACAATAATAAAGATTTTCACCTCCAGATTGCAGTACAATTTTTATTAAGAGCAAGACTTTTCTTATTGGAACATGGTCCAATCAATTACCACATGGTCCAATCGATGGTCCGATTAATTAAACTGTAAATTAAAATATTGGGTAATTTGTTGTCCAATCCAGTCTAAATGAATACACCTCTACATGCACTAGTGTAATCCACGATGAGTGTCGCCACGTGGATAATAAAGAGATCATAATGACCATCAGACAGACCAATACTTAACTTATTGTCGGCTTAAATAAAAAAATAAAATTATAGATTTTTATATATCCTCAAATATTGTCAATATTAACATCTTATATATTATGGATGTCATGATCATCATAAATAAATTGTAGTTTTAAAATTTTATAGAAGAATAATATACAAGTAGCTATATAGCATTCTTGTTCACATTTTCCATGAATATTATAGCTTACTTTCTCAGCATTCTTATTCTCATTTTGTATGAATATTCGATAGCTTATCTGCTCTTGTTGCAATGCACGGGCATATTTGGTAATACTCCTGATACAACAATATATACTATTCATGACCCAATTTTGTTATCTAGAATATACTCTTTCTCTCATTTTTTTGGTTAACCAATCAAATGTCAGTGATCTTTTAATTGGCTACCGAGAATTTCCAAGGTTTCTCAAGAACAACGTGAAAGCGAACTTTTTTTTAAAAAAAGATGCAAGCAATTTGTGGATTACTGATTATGAGAGAAAAGACAGGTGGTAGGTAAATTCTTGGGATATTAATTATATTTCTTTATGCATGTGTTGATCTTCACAAAGATTTGTTACTTGACTTTTCAAACGCTGCATGGAAGAAGAAACTATTCACCACCTCTTTGTAAAGTGTGTTGTGGCTAAGCAGATGGGTGCATTGGACATCCAGAAAATCATGCACCAGTTGATTGGCAGCTCCGAGGGCGGCTTCTGAATGTAGGGATTTGCTTGGTTATAGATGTGACCACTAATGTTGAAAACTGTTATTAGTCATATTTTGATCAAGTAAGATGGACTTCTTTTTAGTTTTTGTGGCAAAACGAAAACTATCACTACTGGAGGCGGGCTCTTTGCCGAGTGCCTGTTGCACTCGGCAAAGGCAGCTTTGCACTCGGCAAAGCCTTTGCCGAGTGCAACGAGCCTCCATCGAATCCCCTTCCAGTAAAGGCTGCTTTGCCGAGTGCCAAATTTCGGGCACTCGGCAAAAGCTTTGCCGAGTCTATTTTTTTTAAAAAACTCTTTGCCGAGTGTCACAGCTCCAGCACTCGGCAAAGAAATCCGTTTTTTAAACCTCTTTGCCGAGTGCCACAGCATCGGCACTCGGCAAAGGGTGTTTTTTATTTTATTTTTTTTTAATTTTCTTTGTCGAGTGCAATGACCATTGCACTCGGAAACCGTGTTTTTATTTTTTTAAAATTTTCTTTGCCGTGTGCAATGGTCATTGCACTCGGCAAAGCCACCTCTAAATTTCTTTTTTTTGTTTTTTGTTTTTCCATTTAAACAACAATGCATATATATATAATAGAAACCACAATTCAACAGCAATAAATTACAAACCACATTTATATATTACAAACGACCAAATTTGTCTGAAATCTACAATTTATTACAAACCACAAGTTCATAGTCCACAAGTTCACAAGTTCGATACATAGAAACTACTCCGCAAGCGGCTCACGGCGACTGCGCCCCAGCGTGCGATCCCGACGACGGTTCGGGTGCGGATGGCCCGACTTGCGATGCCGGCGACCCTCCGACCTGGTTCAACGCCGCCCCCCGATGTCCGCTGCACAAAAAAGAAGATATTGCACGTGAGTGACAAGATAAAAATGTAAGGAGTTTAAAGAAAAGTTGAAAATTTCGGCAGCACCTCCCCTGCACGGGGAGGTTTCCAAAACCTGCAAGAAAAACTGTCGGCACGATGGCCGACGTCCACATTTGGGGCACGATGGCCAACACAACCACAAACCCGGCACGAAGGCCGTCAACGACATAAACGGCGCGATGGCCGACAACCCTCGCTGGCTTTACCTTCTCCTCCGGCGAGGCGGGATGACGGCGTGGGCGACGTGGACGAACGGCGTGGGCGACGTGGACGAGCGTTCGTCCCCTCCACCTCGGCTTCCTCCCCTCTCCTTCTCCTCCTCCTTCTTCTTCCTTTTCTTCTCCTTCTTCCTCCTCCTTTTCTTCCTTCTTCTTCTTCCTTCTTCTTCTCCTTCTTCCTCCTCCTTTTCTTCCTTCTTCCTTCTTCCTCCTTCCTCTTCCTGCTACCTTCTTCCTCCTTCCTCCAGGCCACGGTGGGCTCGCCGTGGTGTTGCTTTTGGCGGCGCCGGCAAGGCGGTGGCGCTGGCCAAGGCCAACTGGGCAGGTGCAGCGCCGAGCAATGAGGGCGTTCGGAACCAAGTGGCCGGGCGGCGGGCCGGTGGGAGGGGGCGGCGGCGCTGGCGGGCGCGCCGGTGGCCGGCCGCATGCTGGGGTCGGGATGAGGCGGGCGGGCGGGCGGCCAGGCGGGCGGAGTGGCCGGCGGGGCGGGCGCGGGGTGAGCTGGTGGTGGCGAACGGCGGCGGGCGCGGGGGTGTGCGTGCGTGAGTGTGTTGTGTGGAGTGAGTGAGTGTGTGGGCCGACGTCCGACGTCGCAACTTGTTTGGGTTTTAGGCATCCGACGTCGCAACTTGCTCAAAACCTTCTCAATTTTTTACCATAGACTCTACATGTGATAACACGACGCCCCGACAAGTTTCGTCATTTTTGGACTTCGTTCGGATTTTATATAATTTAAATACACTTTTCCCGCAGGTACCTCGTCATGTTACGTCAACAAGATGCTCGAAATTTCATGTGAGTTCCTGGATACAGCCTCAACATACACCAAATATCATGAATATCATTTTTTGAACGACCAAATTCGATTATTCCATGCACCTGCAGTTCAAATTTGAAATATTCCATAAAATTCAACGAAACAAAAAAAACTAACAAAATATAGCAAAAAAGGTCAAAATTGTCCCAAATTTGAACATGGAGTTTTAAATAATGTGGGAAGGCCTCAAAAAAATGGGTCAAAAAAACCAAAAAATATATATTTTGCCGAGTGCCGCCCCGCACTCGGCAAAAAGATTTTTTTTTAAAAAAATTGACGGCGTATGGCTCGGCCATCAAGTGCCATTTTTTGCCGAGTGGTGGAGGGCTTTTTCCGAGTGCCACGGCACTCGGCAAAGCCACTCTTTGCCGAGTGCTAGACTTTGCCGAGTGCCACCTGGTCCGGCACTCGGCAAAGCTGGCGGCACTTGGCAAATCTGCGTTCTCCCGTAGTGTATGGTTTGCCACGATTGTTGTCCTGGACACTTCTTTGATGGTTCTGTCCTTCATCCTCCTGCGTTCTGTTTTGACAAAGGAGTTTCACTAATTTATTTACGTTGTTGCAGCTTAATAAGGGACAAGATGATCACAAAGCGCTTGTTGAGAGCAACACCAAAAGGATCTCTAATCAGATCTGTTCTGAACTCCCAGTCCAACAAACTGGATGAGATATCCTCGACCCTTTCAATCTTGCCGAAACAAGCAGAACAGTCAATTCTATGGAGATTGAATTTTTATCCTGCAAATAGATGGGATCAGAGAGATCTTGCATTATTCACGTAGCGTTGTTTTTAGACCATCAATAAATAAAAAGAACCTACGTACTTTTAGAAGGGAATGAACGAACTGTGAAGTCTGCACGTACTCATGCATGCAATGGACGCATTTTGTGGCAAAACGAAAACTATGGTTTGCCACACGCGATTGTAGCACAAAAACTGCTCCTACGTAGTACAATAATGGGTCGGTCCATATTTAATGAACATCTCCATCCGAGGAAGTCGTTTATATTATTATACTATATATATGTGTGATTAAAAATAGAAACACTATCAGTCAGCTCTACTATCTATATATGCCAGCCTCGATTGACTTGTAGCAAGGACAAAGACTGAGCAAATTCATCATAAATAAATACACCGTACCACTAGGCAAAGATGAAGCAGCAGCAGTTTGTTCCCTTCTTATTAGTCGTCGTCATGATCATTGCCGCCACCTTGCAATCGACGACGGCCGGCGCCGGCGGCGGCGATCCCAGTCCGCTGGTGGCCAACCTGCCTAGCTCCCCCGTGACGCGGGACTTCATCCACTCCCGCTGCGAGACGGTGCAGCGCCCCGAGTCCGCCATGGGCTGCTACTAGCTCCTGCTCCCGTACGCCGCGTCCATCAACGGCAGCGCCATCAGGGCCGCCCGCGCCGCCGTCACCGCCATGGTCTCTGAGCTCGGGGCCTACGCGGCGGATCTGCGCAAGGTCGGCGGCACCGTCAGTCCCCAGTTCGACCTGAGTAGCTGCATCCAGGTAGCCCAGGAGGGCACTGACGGGTGCAAGGAGCCGCTGGCCAAGCTCGCTCGCCTTGAGGTTGAGGCCGATGCAAGTGGTGGGAAGAAGGTGGTGACCCAGCAGGATGTGGCTGACGTGAAGAAATGGCTTGGCAACATAATCGCCAAGTCCTCGCAGTGCCGTCTGTTCGAACCATATGGTGTGGGTCAGGTTGGCGTGGACATGCCCAGGCAAGGAATGGTGTCCAGCTCCATAGACGCCTCCAGTGCTCTCGTCAATGACATTGCCCAACCAGCAGCAGCAGCAGGGCCGTCCGCAGCAGCGCGGGATTTCATCCACACCCTCTTCAATGCGTCATGTCCCTTGCCCGAGGACGTCAGGGAATGCTTCAACCTCCTGGCGCCGTACGCCGTGTCTATCAACGGCAGCAACGTCAGGGCCGTCCGCAGCGGAGTCGCCGTCGTGGTTGCGGAGCTCCAGGCCTTGGCCAAGAGTGCCATCGACTTCAACACAACCAATGGCCAGGACTACGAGCTGGGTCCGTGCATCCAGGTGATCCAGGAGGCCGCCAATGGGGGCGAGCAGCAGCTGGCCGAGCTCGATGCCGCTGGCGACGGGAATAACCAGGATCTTGCCAAGGTGAACAAATGGTACCAGGACGCCAAGGCCAAGATCCAAAAATGCGACTATGACATCACCGATGTGCCGAGGAGCCAGGTGTGGTGCTCAAGGCTTTAGCTGCCTTGGCCGGTATCGTTAGCGGCGGCGACGGCACACCCAAATAAATCAACCGTACCACTACCGCACCGCCTGCGCATGCATGCGCCAGTTATTCAAGCTTGCATTGTCCGGTACGGTACGTGACGTCATAATATAGAATATAACGTCAGAAGGACCTTGGGTACTCGGCATTCTTGGCCTCAAGCAGGTTCTCTCTCTGATCCCATCTATTTTTTTTTTGGACATACCATATATATATGGATGTATTTTTCTTTCTACATTCTTTTATGATTTTTTTGTACACTACTGGGACAAATCTCAAAGAAAAATTATTTGTTTTTTTTTTCTGTAAAGTGAATAATGCAAAAATAGAATGTCTTGCCATATATGGTTATCATACAAAAATGCATGATGTAACCCAACTTCTAGCAACTGCACTCATCATAAAATACTTGCACCGTGCAAAATTCAAAATTACATACAGAAGTTGCATTGAGATGTTAAACAGTGAATTTTGATCATCATAATATATATAGAATATGGACTATAATATATACATCGTAATATGTATATGCATACAATGCAATACGCATCTGCAATAATTGAGATTGCCCAATTAAAGAATGGAGAGAATCCATCTGTTTCACGCAAATTACACAAGGGATTGAACACAAGCATGACCATGCATAACATGTCAGTTTTTTATGCAACTTGCCTCTCCTGTCCTCAGTCTCAACAAGGAGAGGAGAAACAGATCATGTTTCAAACAAAATCATGTATCCATCTTGCTATGCAATGTATATATGTAGTAGTAAACATTTGCAAGTACGTTCACACAATACGTTCTGACCCAACATCTTCACCTTGGGGCCTGATTGCTTTCTCAAAAAAAAAAAAATCCTGAACATGAATTGTTTTACAAGGAAAATGCATGCCTAATTCCCTCAGATTCAGATCAACAACCAAAATCTCTTCACAATAGCTAAGGACAACTGTGCATGCATCAGTAACCTACATCATAATTTGGGCTCCTTGGCTGCCACCGGTGCCGTCCCCAATCCATGAGCGCTGCACTCCATTAACCTACATCATAGTTCATCGGTATCCAGGCCATGCATGCTCAGACAGAAACAAACTGTCCTGATATGTATCCCGGCCTTCTCCTTCCTTATCGACGACGTAGGGGTGGTGACCTGCTCCAGACGCCTCCAGTGTTCTCGTTAATGACACGTACGGTGGTAGTACCACGGCCCAATCAACCAGCAGACGCAGCAGGAGCAAATAAGATACCTCTTCAACCGTCGATTAATTGGAGGCCAGCGAGGGCATCCGCGCGTCCGGTGTTGAACAGTCGTAGCGAGTCGATGCGCACGATCACTGCTGACGGGCCTGTCCCTGGCCGATGCTGCCTTCACGCGTGGCGTACGCCTGTTGGGCCTCGCTGTCCATCCCAACAGGCCTTGGGCCCCATGCGTCCTGCCCCGGCGGAAGCTGTCCGTCCCGACATGTATCCCTTCTCCTTGTCGATGACGTAGGGTGACCCGCTCCAGACCGACGCCTCGATCCAGTGCTCTCGTTAATGACACGACACGTACGATGGTAGGACCGCGGCCCAATCACCAGCAGACGCAGAGGTGCCTTCAATTGGCCGGTGTCATAAGCGCTAGCTAGCGCATAGATATTCACTACCACTGCTTGCAATGCATGCGCCAATTATTCAAGCTTGTCCGGCCGGGACATGAAGGCCGCGTCTGGATTCCTCCGGTGTTTAGGAATCTGGTTTTTGAAACTAGTTTTTGTCTAGTTTCTTGTCTTAATTTTTGCCAGATTCTTACCTAGCTTTTTGTCAGTTTCTTATCACCTTGTGAGCTATAAATTAAGCCAAATTCTTAAAAACTAGGAATCAAAACACTCTCACCAGCTTTTTTTTCCTCAGAATCCAGATTTTAGAAACTATAGGCAAAAACTGATTTTTAAGGATCTGAAACTTGCCCGACGTTTTATAAGCAAGTACTCGTACCGCTATTTGCATGCTTGTGGGCACTCCCAAAAAAAGCAAAAAATAACAATATCGTGCTTTTTTCATTGGAAGACTTTTGAGCGAAAATTCCTTAGATTAACTGAAATTTTCTTAACGTTGCTTGGGTACTCGGCATTGCTCAAGCAGGTGGCAATATAATCTGTAAATAGGAGTCGAGAAGAGAAATAAATCATCTCCCATCTATTTTCACAACTTCCTTTGGCAGGTGTTCTGAACGCCTCAAAAACCTTCTAAAGGTGTTTTAGAAAACATTTGATATATATAGTCTGGACGACAAATATTTTTACAAGTTTTTTTTTTCAAAAAAAAAAATTCTCCTTCGATAGATTTTTGACCATGTGATTTATTGAATGAAGCTACACGTAGTGGGACAAGGCTGTCGGTGGCATTGGGGAGTGGCAGAAGCGGGGTTGGCTAAAGGACGCATGCATGCAATGGCGATGAAGCGGAGGCTGGCGGCTTCACGGTGCTAGTGCGAGCTTCGCCGACGACTCTTCTGGTGGTGGCACCAAGGTTGACTTTACCGGTAGAAAAAAAATACCGAACGTCACCGATAAACGGGTTTATCAGATTTATTGGAAAATTTCTCGATAAAAAATAAAATAAAAAATACCTAACTTCTCTAGAAAATTGCATAAGTTCTCCCTAAAGCATTAACAACGAGAACTAGCACATAATAGTATTGATATAAGAGATTATCACACTTTCATGTAGGTGGATTAGTGAAAATTGGAATCTCGGTGATAAATAATTTTTATCGGACCTTAGCGATAAACGGAATTATTGGGTTTATCGAAATTTTATCGCCGATAAATTTTTCCCTGGGTGGCGCTCGAGGTCCTCCGATCCATGTTGGGGAACTGTGGGCGGTGGGACGGACGTTGTCCATTAATTGTGTATCGCTTGAGCAGTCTCAATCCTCGTTGACTTGATTGATGACTAACGAATAATCGCCGTACAACCATATGGGGCACTTGATGAAAAGTGATATATTGATATTTTCAAGCCGTGCAAGAGAGCTTCATACTCGGACGCATTATTAGACGCTGGAAAGAAAATCTGGAGGACGTATACGTACGTACTTTTGACTCTTCACTGTCGATGCGGGACCCATAGGATACCCCGCAAGAGAGAGAAGATCTAGCTCAACTAGGATTCTTCCCATGTAATCTTAGTAATAGAACTATTAAGTAATCCTACTAGAAAATCTCATTGTAAACCGACTAGGACTCTGGCCTCCTGACTATATAAAGGAGGGCAGGGCTCCTGAAAGAGAACAATTGTACAACATAACACTTCATAATCAATCCAACGCAAAAGGCAAACGCCGAATGGAAGTAGGGTCGTTACTCGATCTACGATCGAGGGCCTGAACCAGGATAAATCGACTGTTTCTTGCGTTTACCATCGAGTTTAGCATACGCCGAAGCCCGAACGATACTGCCACGGTACCCCTGTGGCAGGCTATCGGTGGTGAAACATCGACAGCTGGCGCGCCAGGTAGGGGCCTTCGGTGACTTTGCATCCGAGACCTCGATGGACCTCAATAACATGATCTTCCCGACGGGATCGATTTTCATCTTCGGCTCGTGGATCTGCGAGGCGGACAACTACGGCAAGCTTCAAAACCATCTCCTCAAAGATCCGGATCATCATGAAGAATCCTCTATTTCGACAACTACGACGGATCAGCTCACAAGAAGATTCGCGCAGCACATAATACCCGATTCGAATAAGATTCCACGGCTACACGTATCCGACTCGAAGTCAAGCTCCGTATCCGAGATGAAGTCCTATTCGAGTACTTTTAAGAAGTCAAGTTCCTTTTTGGCAAGATTCCAGAGCACAACCCAAAACAACTCGGATTACCCTCAGAATTCTTTCAAAAGGCCGAGTTCTTTTCCATTTGGGCTCGACAACACGACAAAATCCTATCAGGGACAGTTTGAAAGGTCTTTCAAATCAACACTTGGGATACCACTGACAGGAGCTCAGGAGGGTCTCGTACTAACGATAACATCGCAAGACTGTATCATCCACTGGCCAGGATCCATTCCTGAGGATAGCGGAACCCAACTAGTCGGCACAACAACAACAGCTATTCTACCTTACCAAGAGGGAGACTCAATTTACGACGTCGAGGCGACAATCGAAGTCATCAAGCCTTTCCGACAAGATGAAAACTAACAACAATAACGGAACGGCTCACGCACGGAAGTGCTCATGGTTCGGCGTCCTCGGTCACCATTAAACCCCCTGAAGCACCCGATGTCGGTCATCGATGAATCGGAATTCAACATATCACCCTTTGCTCAGGGCTATGATGGAGAAACCGAGAGTCAGAGACAGGCTAGAGAAAGGAAAAACAAAAAAAATTTGAAACAAGGCGCCAAAGACCATGCCCGACAGCGTAGAGAAGCCTGGACCAGATACGAGTCTGAATTGGCTGAATACGATAAAAGAAAATCACAACAAGAGGTCAAAGAGACGCACAATGAGTACGCCTTACGATAAGATTCGAGAAGCATTAGAAGAACTCAGGCAACTTCACATCACGGAGAGAAGTACGAACAGCTCCAGGACTTGCTCCGGTCAACGATCCCAAGAACGCATGAAGAGAGAACCCGATCAAGACTACCCGCCAGATCAACAACCCGCAGGCAAGAAGATCAAAATTAAAGGAAGTCCGCTTTTGAAAGACTTGGACCAAAGTGGAAGCCATAACGGAGAAAGTAGGAGGGAACATAGTCGGGCCATCAATTTGAACAACCAAGGAAGACCAGGAGTAGAGGGCCTACCTGCACGACCTCGCAGAATTATTCCTATCAAAACAACACTTGGCGTAAGAAGGAGCCGAATCCGAATTCAAGGAAGCGGAACGCATGATGATTCCCCTATTTTGCAAACAGGTTGGCATCGATGACGATTACCTCACAAATTCAAACCGTCTAATCACTCCAAGTATGATGGCAAAACC